TTACTACCAACACTAATGTTATAACTTCAATGATCTCAGAATTTCAAACACCAGTGTTGTAGCTTCCAACGATCTTCAAGTGTTTGTTATTAGTAGGTTCAAGATTTCCAATAGATGAACACAACTGCATCAAACGCAAACTTTGCTGAACGTTTATTTTAATGCCATTAGTAATAGAAACACTAAAACAATCCAAGTAACTACAAAAATTACAATTACAGTTTCGCATCAAATCTCGATACAAATTTCGCTATTCACAAATCCTTATATACCCTCTACACTAAATTTTTGGCATAGATTCGATATCTCTTTACAATCCTTTATGGTTTGAAATTTAAAGATTACAAATATAGCAAAGATAAAAATAATTAGGATAAAAAATAATATAGCGCACTTTGATCATACCAGCGGTTATAACGATATAAACAAGTCTTTCTTCCTTTCAATTGCTCGTTCACTGATCATTCGTAATATAAATATGACGTTTCTTGCGTCACAATCTTCGTCAAAACCCCACTAGACATTTGAAATTTTAGATCTGAGTTTGTTTTGTGCTTTCATCATAAGAATTCTTAAGAGAAGTTTTATAATATTACTCATCAAGCTGATTTTTTGATGTAGTTCACATTCCGTTACATTAGGTTTTTTAGAAAATGCAATAAATATTGGCATGGATGAATCTTCAGAAATTTCGCTGCCGTTATATATCTCATTCAAAATTTTTTTCACTTTTTCTATTCCAAATTCATCAAAGCGTTTAATTTCTTCAACAACTATCTCATCTAGGCCTGGCGCTTTATTTGATTTCATTTTGCATAGAGCCTCACGAACTTCAGATCTAAGTATCTTTGGTCCTTCTACAATTTTTTTAATAGGAGGCTTTTCACCGCGGATATCATCAAAAATTTAAGTTAATGTATTCAGTCCATTTTTCAAATAATTTTATTCTAAGATTACTTTACCGGATTTAGCTTTTATGCATCCAGAAACGGTACAAGCCCTTTTTCCAGTGATTTCCAGTGATTTCTTTGATGTTTTTGTACATTGCATTTGTATTACTGTTTTTGATCTTTTTAGTGATTTTGCACTTGTCATTTAAACATTTCTCTTTTGCTTCTAAGAACAGTCTTTGTTTGTTTGGTCCAGCCTTTTGTAACTATCAGGATTGCAGCATTTCACTTTCCATCGTTCATTCATCAGAGATACAATGTCATCTGTTATCCATTTCTGACCTCTTCTTTGCTCTTTCACAGGTATAACTTCCCCTTACTGATTCTGTGAAGGCCTATCTAAATATTTTATATTTAGATTTATTTACGTCTTCCTTCAATAACTGAAAATGATTCCTTACTTCAACATTATACTTGACCTTGACCTCATCATTTTGTTACATTACATCATACATAATACATTATCACGGAATTTTCATAATTAAGGCACACTTACTACCAATTCCTGGTGTTCCAATACCCAAATCTGAAGTTAAGAAATTCATAGAGCAAAACTTTAACAGAAGATGGCAAGAAAATTGGAATAAAATGAATACCTCTTTAAAATCAATAATCCCAAATATAAGATCAATGAGCATTCTAAAACAATGCAAAAGTGTTTGATCATTAACTTTCAGTATATTTTGAAACACGAGTGCAGGGTATAAATTACCTATACTCTGTAAAAATTTTCATCAACTGATTTCAAATTTTTTTAAATATTTTACCATAAAGTGGCTTTTAATTAAAATTGCAAATCAAAAGTTGACAAAATTTTCTAAGAGTCGAAAAATTTTTCGATGAGGTAGAGTCGTCGGCAAATTTTTATGACTCCTGAAACAAACCTGTATAACAGGCAAATATATTTTATGTATCATGATCTACAATTACCGATAAAGATTATAAAAATGACAAACAAAACTGATCAATTAACATTAAATCTAGAAGAGATAATTAGACTTTTAAAATTTTGTTCAACTTAAAATTAAAAAATATCGAAACAAAATATAAAATTGTAAACAAATTTTAAAGTAAAATGTAATGAGTGGAAACATCTGATTTTTTCATGATTGAAGGCTCATTAACTTTTATCACACTTTTTTTAATCATTTTTAACTATACAAAGAAGCAAAGCAAAATTTTGCATTCTCTTTCATTATTTACCAGTTTCATTTTACAACTATTTTGTTTGGCTTTATATAGTGAAACATTAAATAAGAGTGTATTTTTATAACTGTATTTATATCATGTAAAGCAAAGTATGGCAGTTTTTGTTCTTGTTATTGTACAATATTTTCAATGAAATGTTGTCGAAGCTAAATAATCAGAAATTAATTTGAATGTTCTCAGCACTGCTGGTCATAGATGTTCAAAAATGTTTCATCGAAGGAGGATCTCTACCTATCAACGGCGGTCGTCAACTTGTTCCCCTCATAAATGAAATGCTTCACAATTACAAAAAATACTTCAAAAAAGTTATATTCAGTTTAGACTTTCATCCTGCTAACCATATTTCATTCGCCTCTCAACATCTCAACAAATCCGTTCTAGATCATGTAACTTTAAACTATGATAAAAACGGTTGGATATCACACGATTCTAACATTGGTTAAAGTATTGTGTATTTGTGTCATTATTTAAAAATAAGACTGTTATCAATTAAATAAATATTTGTATTAGAGCGTTGCGCGGTTTTTCATGGTTGGGGTTTTAAAATGATACGGTTTTATGCAGGCGCGGTTGTAAAGACGTGCGGATTTGAGCGGTGCCGTTTTTAATTCTGAAACCGCGGTAACCGCAATATATTAAATACAATTTTATAAAGCTTAAATTTGACTTCAAAAATTTAGTTATCAATGTTTTATATCAATTTAGTGTTTTCGAGATTGATAATTTAATATATTGAAATAATGTTTTGAATAATTTTGTCTATAAATGTCGTCATTATTTTGTAAAACATATAGGCACATTCGAGTGCAAATGAACTTGTTTCTTATAAAATTGAATGTTACATTAAAAAGAAAACTCCGAATATTGAAGCTGGTGAGAAAATGATCATACAAGAAAACCATACAAAATTATGAGATATTTGCTTTTTCATTTTTTTTGGTAGCAGCCTCTAATATTTCATCGAAGAGAGCTGGTTCTTCACAGAGCTGCGCGTTGCAAAACATTTGATTGATTTTGGACCCAAATAAAATAAGTAAGATAATATTTATCGGTAGCAATTAAGACTTAAATTAATCCCTGTATTTGTTTCATGATTGCTTCAAAGAACAATTCTCCCCCCGAGCTAAATATCGCTGCTGTACTTTAAAAAAAATTGCTTGATTGGTAAATGTTTTTAAAATTAAATATATCTTTGAAAATTAACATCGAAATTTTTATAAACGATAAATTGCCGATATATCGATAGCCGAACTCTCAAAAATTCTCAAAACATCTACAAAAAAATTTGAGTCTGTTGAACAAAAATCTCAGGAAACGATTAAATCAACGTGTAACAAACCACTGCAATGCTTTTGAGAAAGATGTATCACCACCCCTAGGTAGGCGTTGCTCACTTGCAACTGTACATGCGTTGCTCATTTGCAATATCAGGCATATAACAATAAATATATCTTGAAAACTTTATGAAACAATACATATCTTCAAATTTGTAAATGCTGTAAAAGAAATTCAATCATTCCCTTTTTTCAGACTTAAGCTATGCTATGACTATTCACCAGAGGAACAACAGCATTTACTGCTGACCTAGTGAACTTTTATTATTATATCCGTTAAAAAAATATGTAAATACCGCGGACGTAGTAATGTTTTATAGTTTACCCAGCGGTATTTAGAGCCAGTATGTTACTTCAAAAATGATTATGTTTGCTTATTTGTTATTTGTTACTGTTGTTCTTAAAACTTTTGACATGTAGAGTTAGTTAGCTGTTAGTTAGAGTTCGATGGTGTTTTTTCCGGTTGTGGTTTTTGATCGGTTTTTTCCGGTTGCGAGCATTTGCAAGCGGTTATGGTCTAATTTTTTGCGGTGTGTTTATTTGCGATATCAGTCGTGGCGGTCGTGAACGTTTGCGGTTTCCAAAAAGTTTATCGCGCGGGCTTCTAGTTTGTAGTACTAGTTTTTTGCTATAATTGTTTTTATAGTAAAAAAAGATAATTAATTTTAATATTAAAACATTTAATTTTAAGTTAAGTTGTGTAGGCCATCAACTTTGATGGATGAAAATCGTGCTGACAACTGCAAAGGGGCATTTAAATTCGTTCAAACTCTATGGCCTGATCATTGTGTTGAGAATACAACAGATTCTAAACTGGCCGATGAATTAAATTTTGAAATCGATGACGTTACATTGCTAAAAGGAACCGATCAAAACGTTAGTTTCGATTAAAAAAAGTTCTATTCAGCTATATTGATATTTATTAAATAATAATTAGAAGTTATACATTTTAATATAAAAAAAGTAAATTATTCATATATAATATTGCTATCAATATTTTTAATGTTCAAAGAACATTTCATCAATTTGTAATTTAAGAAATGCCAGACATTGTTTGCTTGTTGACATCTAACAGACCGTGATTAAAACTGAATCAAAACAACAGATAAAACTTAACAATTTATTGATTACTATAATTTTTTAAGTAATGGACACCAAAACATAATTAAATGTAATTAATCTTAAAAAACATTCTGTCTAATCATATTTTTGCAATCATTAAATTAATCAAATAGTTTATAAAGCGCCATTAAATTTATTTATATATATGTCAATTATCAATAAGATTAACACTGTTCGTGATTTATTCTCTAATAATTTTGATATTTTTGTTGTTACGGAATCCTGACTTGGTTCTTCCGAGAATCTATCACTTAGACTCACTCTACCACCTGATTTTGTGTTTATAGGTTTTTTGAGGCCTGACAAACCTCACCGTGGTGGAATAATTGTGTTTTTTTAAATTATTTTAAATTTTATAAAATTCCACTGCCTTTATTTGAGACATTTGAAGCTATAGTTGTAAAATTTTATTTTCATTCTTTATTTTCCTATACAATCTTTCTAATTTTCGACAATTGCATTTTAATAAACGACATTCAGAGTCAAACCAAGGAGCAAATGATACATGAGTAGTTTTGACATAACGACAAAGAGCAACGATATCCATAATCCTCGCAATATCAGACTTAAACAAATTCAATAATAAAGTAAATAATGAAGTAATGAATGAACTGAAATAATGAATATATATTATATTATTTATATTATTATTATTGTTGTTGTTGTTGCTGCTGCTGTTGTTGTTATTATTATTGTTACATCTGACAAATATCAGTAATAATTTTGAAAACAATTTAAATAATATGTTGTCCTGTTGTTGTGGCAAGCCCTGCAAGAGCATAAAAGGATTAAAGATGCATCAAAAAACATTCAAAATGTTCAAGTCCCTTAAAACAAAAAGTCGATACTGAAAAACCACCCATTTCTTCGAGCCCAAACTGTTATGGTTTTGAACACCAATCTACCCAGACGGCGGTCCCGCAGCCGCTTCCAGGCGTCATGCTGCCGAGATCAACAGCAGAATGGACCGAAGCCAACACAGCTTTTCACATAGAAATGAAATGTCTAAACCACATAGACATTAATAATTTTTCGACCCATTTTCAACAGATAATCTTCGTCAAAAATTACGGCTTCGTACAAAATAAATCAACAAATAATGTGAAAACGAACGGCTCAATCAATCAGCAAAAAAAGGAATTACTAATACTAAAGGAACAGAATGGTAACCATTTTTTCAGCGAAAAAATATCTCAATTAAGCAAATCAATTCTCAATAGATTAAAATCAAAATCGTCAAATAAAACGTGTTCCACCATAACTACATTCCAATTCAACAACAAGTTTTTAAAAAGTATGCAAATCACCATTTTCAACATCTACAAAGGTATCTCCTCGGTTCAATGTCGTTGACAGTAACAATTTTTTTCGCAAAAGTCTGTTAGCGAAGTCATGTACTTCATTTGAATTCCCAGAATCCTCCTCTTCCGGAACCCTCATTCAAGGGCAATATTGAACAACCAATTTATAATAAATTTGCAGCCATCGTTCGGAGATGCAAAACCAAAGCCACGTCATGACCGCTTGATCAAAGTTCAACAATTGCCACGAAGAGATGCCCAATACTTTGCACATACATTTGCAAACTAATAAACGTCGGAATGTTACTTCAATCTTAACATATTGGCGTAAGAGCGTATCATGACATCTATTGGCCACTTTTACACTTTTGTACTGAAGGTGTACATAAAATCCTGGTTTACCTCTCCATGTGTTTCATCTGCTCCATACAATGACTTACTGCTGCTTCTGGAGTTAGAAAGCTACAAGAAAACAAATGAAGCTGTTGCTAAAGCTGCGTTGAAGTCATTCTCTGGTCATTTATGGTACTTGAATGAAGTATTGATCGACTTAGCATTTTTAGACTCAGAAGTCTCATCTGAGACGAAGTCAGCCATGGTTGCGGCACAGGAATAAGGCAACAACCAATTAACCTATACGACGCATTACATTCCAGCCCACAAAATCACAGAAGCGGCTTTCGGACTTCGTATCGCAACGTACCAGGCAACTGTTCACTGTCTTGCATATACCGCAGAAGTTCTTGAGCAGTAGTCCGGACACGTGCAACAATGACAATGACTACATTATTGGTCAATGGAAAGTAAGAAGTTTGAAAGATGTCAACGATGCCGCCAAGAGAGGAGTGGCCTTAATTCAGGAGTTCAAAAGAGTTGTAACAAATGACAAAGACCAAAAGCAGTATTTGTTACAAGTGATAGAGAAACATCGCAAAGACTTCGAATGAATTCTGTTATTAAATCGTCATTTCACGTGTAGTTAATCTGAATTGTGAACAAAACAGATCAATTTTGAGGCTGTAAATCAATTTTCCTATCCATCTTGAGTGATGGCAAGCTCCAGGAGCCTGAATGTTTATGTTTTCACTATGCTGTGCTCCAAGAAAAGCGATATATGAAGAAGCTCACAATAATCATCTCTGGGTTGAAAATGTGTAAATTGATGCTGAAGGAAGTAAATGAGGTCATTTTGACTGGTATGAGAGCCGATGCAATGTAATCCACATCCAGCCCACTTTCAAACTTAGTCTTGTCAATTGAATGCCAGTCTTTTTTGGAATACTTTCTACTGCAGCTTCTGCCATTTTAAAAATCCACCAGATTTACTATAAATGAGATAAAACTTGCTGTAATAGAAATATTATATTCACTGAAATTTATCAAAACAGGATGTTGATTTCTGTAACAAAGAACAAAAACAAGACATGCATATGCATATTATTTTTTACAAGTAAATATAAAATTAAGAACTGTATAAGAATTAAGAGCTATATAAGATATATAAATGCTTATCATACTCATCAAAGCTCATCTTTAATTTAAGAGTACGAGGATGATAAAATGATAAAATGGTACAAAAATTTTTCAAGTTTTGTTCCTGTCACAGTATAAAGCATACAACGACTTAATTACGCATTTTATCAAGTTCCCTTTAAAAACGTTTCACCAAGATTAAAGAAAGTTTAAAAGGATTATAAAAACCTATTGGACTAATTTCAAATGTTCTAATTATAATGTTTAAATTTTTAAAATCTTCCAACAAATCATTTTTTAGAATGTTTTTATATTTTTCATTCTAGTAGAGTTTAGATTTGGGGAAGTTTGTTTCGTGGCATACCATCAATACGAGAATCTCTATCGTATCGTTACTATCATAGCGATGTCTGGCAGGAGAGACTTGAATAAGTGCAATACTGAGCGAATTGAATCATTATCTTGATCCGCATATATGATTAAATCAGACTTTGCGTAAGATTTTAAGTAACCAACAATTAGATTGAAAATTTTGTTGTGTCTTTCCAGGTGTCATCCCAATGCCGCGGTTGAGCTGCAGTTTGACAATAGTCCATGCTTGCTCGTTTGTTTTGCATTGTATAGCGGCATTGGCATAACTCGTTTGTTGACTTTCCCCATTTAACCAAGCTTAAGTTTATTGGTAATTGTTGTATTAAGTATTTTATTGCTAATCTAAATAGAATTTTTAGGGCTTTCCCTGCTGCTTTAGACCATAGTGCTATTTCAGAGGAGTTAATGTGGTCGTTTATAGTTCTTAGCAGAATACCTTGGTACTGTAGCGTATATATATGATTGAAATCTATCTCGTGCTGGTGTTCTTTACAGATTTTAAGTGCATGTTGCAGATCATCATTCGGGATGTTGCTATCAATTTTTTTGAAACACTTGGATAATTCTGCCCATAGACATTTCATTTCGTCATTTGAATTTAATTTTAGGCTACCATGTAGCTTTATTTTTAGCAACCCAGCATGATTTTTCAATGATCGAAAGTTTAGGACTCCCACTGTTTCAGTTATCATTGCTTCGAGAGCTTTTCCGATCCACGTCAGTGAAATATCGTATATTTTCAGATCAAATAAGAGTTGCAACGGAACAAAGTACTTTATAATCTGCAGCTTCCATTAAGCAGTAGTATCTAATTCATCAATCGTGTGCAGCATGTCTTTAACTTTTTTATAAATTGGCTCTATGCACTCAAAATCGTATTTCTTTTCTGAATATGTAAATCGGTTGTAACGTAATTTTTCGGAAGTTTGCTGGATCACTAGTATCATCTTTTTTGTGGATTAATTTGATTAGGGCCTTTCTCCAGCACGTTGGGATTGTTGATGATTTCCAGCATTTTACCACCAGTTGATGAAGTATTATGCAAATAATAGGACATTGTTTTAATATTATTATTGATATTTGGTGTAGTAAGCAATAAGATGATTTTGATTTAATATTTTTATTATTGCTGTGATTTCATTGTATGTTGGAGGACTGGTGTTGAAAAAAATTGAAAAATTCTTTAATAGTGGAATCCATGGAGGTAGGCAGTAGTTCTTTTATTGCGGTGCATTTAGTACCTTTTGAAAATAGTTCTGACATTCTGTCACTTCAAATGAAGGTTGCACATCATTTGTTGGGTGGAATATATTTTTGCATGTTGCGTAGAATTTATGTTTTAGTTGGTATTGCATTTATTTTTGCCATATTTTATATCACAACAACAACAATAATAATAATAATTGATTGAATTAATTATATATATACCGATTTTTCGAAATAGGTCTTATACACTCGAGAATGAATTGGAAAACTGTATATTATTCTAACTTTATTAAAATAAATAATGACAGCAACAGTTTAAGCCTAATTTTTTGATTTTATTGATGAATGTTACAACACGTTTTACGTTAGTTAGTTTCTTGTTTAATTTATCGATTTTTCTAATGGTAGATCATAAATCATTATCAAGTTTCCTGAATTTAAAACCAAAATTTTTATTTCTTTTAAAAATGCTTAAATGTTCTATCGAGCTGTGTGTGTGTTGTGTGTGTGTGTGTGTGTGTTTGTGTGTGTGTGTGTGTGTGTGTGTTATTTATTTTAAAAATTCTTAAATGTTCTATCATGATTTCTAATTTACTCTAAAAGCTTTAATTATTTAATAAATTAATAATTAATTTATTTATTTATTACAGATCGATTCATACTCTGCATTTTATGATGTAGGAAGGTTCTCCCAAACTGCACTACATAGCATCCTAACACAAAATAACATCAAAAATGTTTTTGTTGTCGGTATTGCAACTGACTTTTGCGTTAAATTTACCGCTTTAGACGCCAATTATTTAGGTTAATGCTCTATATAATTTGGATATATTGTTTTAAGGTGTTGCTCATAACAAACACTTATTAAATACATGAAATTAGTCGTTTACAAACCTCATAAATGGGTGGCTACATAATGCTATTTTTATAATTTTCTAACTACTAAATTCAAGACAATATTAATCCTTTAATCACAATTTTTGCAAGGATACACAGTTTATGTTGTTGAAGATCTTACAAGAGGCGTTTCTGAAAATTCAGTCAAAGAAGCGTTGAACGAAATGGAACAAGATGGTTTATTTGTCAATTTAAATATTTGTAAAAAAAATTAATTTAAATTTACAGCTCTAATCCAGCAATGTTTCAGCTAATAATATTTATTAAAATTGGTGGATAATTTTAGTTAACTTTCTTCAGAGGTACTTGATAGAGCATGAGAAGCAATGATTTTGTAAAGCTTAAGCAAATTGCGGTGGCCAGATAACTGATGAAAAACTTTAAATAAATTTATATTACTGCAGTTCCAACTGTTAACAGCATTTATTTGAGCCTATTTATATGCCATATTGTCGACTTCTTTGTCTGATTCATCAAAAAGTATTTCTTTACCAGAATCACAACTTGAACTTGCCGACAAATTTATCGTCTTACCATCACGGCTTTGCAATTTGTATGTCTTTTTTAAAATCTTTTAGTTCAGTGTGGTGTTTATTTACTCTTTTGAGTTGATGCCATACTGGTTACGAACAGTTTCTGTTATGCTAGTCTTTACGCATTGGCTGCGCAAAAGTGTTTTAAAAGTAAATAACGAAAGTTCTTTCAAAAAAATTTGTTTTTCAAATCGACTTTTGATTTGCTGGTTCACTCCATCCAAAAAAATTAATAAACTTTCATATTATATTTTATTAAACCCAACTAAACATTCGTGACTGCATAGTTCATCAAACATTTTTTTAGCACGGCGCCTCTTAAATGATGTATCAAGACTGATACGGTGTGCTGTTGCGAATGATTCCGACACATCGCATTCGCATATTGTTTTCCATGTTGAATTAGCATTTCTTCTGATGATGTCAAAATGATGAGTGCAGTTTTTATCAATTCTGTTGCTAAAGCCATGTCAATAGATATACACTGCACTGTTTTGGATACGAGACCAATAATATTATAAACCATCTCACTTGATGATGATTCAACCAACTCAGAATAAGCATATAATTTTAAATCGTTTAAGATACTTGGTTTGTTTTCTTGAAATGATATTTTAACGGAAAAATTCTCCCACTAGCTAAAAATGGAGGCAATTGCTTTCTTCCCTTATTCCGTGGATGCCCCTGAGTTTGACTTGTATTTTTGTCATATTCTTTTACAAACGTTTGACAGGATAGATAAATGAATACTAGATCAATGATGCTGGTAACTCTTCTTGTTGCTCTTAATTTTTTTGCTGTAACTAATCTTTCATCTAATCCATACACTCTTATATAATGAACTAATAAATTAGTTTCATTATTTTGGAGTCCGTGATCTAATCTAAATATAGCTTTTCACAATATCTTTTTTGTTTTTTTATTATTTATTTGAGTAATTTCATCTTTTTTAAACTAAATCCTAAAATTGAACTAATATGTTTTAACACGTCTAAAACTCTACTATTCCTCCTATAGATATTTCACTTGATTTTTAAACTTTTAAATTGTTTCACGACAGTTACAGCCTTAATTTTATTTTTATCCTTCTCCTATTCCTCCTATAGATATTTCACTTGATTTTTAAACTTTTAAATTGTTTCACGACAGTTACAGCCTTAATTTTATTTTTATCCTTATAAATTTATAATGTTGTTAAAAATTTACATTTTTCCGCTTAGAAAAAAACCTTGTGCCTTTTTGAATGATCCTACTTTTTTTTATTTGTTACTTTATTAGTATTTAAGAATTGAGTATTGCTCTACTATAGCTTTTCCGATTTTACGCAATACCCATTAACTAAAACTTTGATCTCTGCTCTGTTCGCTTCCACTGACTACCAGTAAAATATGAAATAATTTTTAAAAATTGCAGTTGATGTAACGTTTCAATATAAATTAGTTTCTATGTACTTTACAGGTAAATTACTTAAATATAAACGCCCCGGTCCACTATCGTTTTCTTGTTCTCCTTTTTTCTTAATTTCTGTTAAACATTCTTATGTTATATCTGTCTTTGCCTTTCTGGTTCTCTTATTTCTTCTCTGATTGATTGATTGGTTGGCTGGCTGGCTGGCTGACTGACTGACTGACTGACTGACTGACTGACTGACTGACTGACTGACTGACTGACTGACTGACTGACTGACTGACTGACTGACTGACTGACTGACTGACTGACTGACTGACTGACTGATTGATTGCATTGGTTGGCTGGCTGGCTGACTGACTGACTGACTGACTGACTGACTGACTGACTGACTGACTGACTGACTGACTGACTGACTGACTGACTGACTGACTGACTGACTGACTGACTGACTGACTGACTGACTGACTGACTGACTGACTGACTGACTGACTGACTGACTGACTGACTGACTGACTGACTGACTGACTGACTGATTGATTGCAAAAGAAGTTACTATTAAAATTAACCAAAAAAATTACCAGGCATAAGAATAATTCAGAAATGCGACTTAGAAGGTATTTTATCCGGGATAAAAATGCGAATGGAATGCCGAAAAAGAAATTAACAAACGATGGACAAATTTTTTTCTCTTGATTGCCATATGAAATTGATTTCATTTTTTAAACGTTAAAATTTGACTTTTCCACAGTTTTAATGTAATAAAATGTTGTATAACCTCCTTTTTCCATTCATCACTGAAATTTAATTTTTTAACTTCTCATTGTATTCAAAAGTTTGATAAATTTATAATCTATTCTTCACATGCAATTTAGACAATATAAAAGCAGCTTACAAATCATTGTTTTATTTTATTTTCCTTCTTACCATGTTTAACAATCCAACTTCTTATCATTTTTTTCTCTTATCCATCACATAGGTCACTTACTGAGTCCTTAAATAGTCACATAATTAATTATTTTATTTATTCGTTTTTTAAATCATTATTTCATGTTCCATCTTCTCATGCTTAAACATTCTTACTCCAAGGCAGTAGAATAAAATGGTAACGAAAAAAATAAATGAATGAATAAATAAATAAATAACGGAGAAAAAATGTTTAAACATGAAAAGTATTAAAAATAAAATAAAATAATGGTATAAAAAAAGCAAATAAATAAAGTATTTATTAATAGACTAGATAAGACTAGATATCATTAATGGGTGTTCTAGAAGTAATGTTATTTTCTTACGGCTATTGTGAATGATGAGTTCGGGTGATTTATTGAGGTTAAGTGACAGATTGCATCGTTTTGACCATGTGGTTAATGAATCGAGTTCTGATTGGATGGTGTTTGAGTTAGATGATGGGATGATAAGGTAGGTGTCGTCAGCGTATTTGATGATGTGATTAGAGCAATGAAAAGTTTTGAGAGTAGAAGCATTGATGATAAAGGTAGATGGTCCAAGGACAGAACCTTGAACTACGCTAGAATTTATAGGTAGAGTAGATGAAAGAGTAGAGCTAAAGAAAGAAAAATGAATCCTATTATAAAGAAAATTTATTATAATATTGTAAATGTTGTCAGGTAGAGGAAAAGAGGCTAACTTAGTTGAAAGTGAGAAGTGATTGAGATTGTCAAAAGCTTTAAAAGAAAAGTCGAGAGCAATAAGATGAACATAATTATTATTTTTAAGGAAAGATGTTATTATAGAAGTACGAGAGATGATAGCGGGTGTAGGGCGAAATGCAAACTGATCTTGTAACAGTGGTTTGATTGATGGATGGTTGAAACATGGATAAATTAATGACCTAACAAGGAATTTTATTTTTTGGAATTTTCGGGAACGTTGTCATAAATGGGAATTTGGCAGGAAATAGGGAATGGAAAACACAAACACAAATTGAAAGCAAATTTCAATTCCCGCTCACCTTTACTACATATAGTTCGGTGAGTATATTTTTTGAACAAGTTTATTCGTGTGAAAGTAAGAAAGTATTATAAATCAACATGAAAGGGATGCAATAAAGAGTACAACTTTTAACTAATGCATGCATGCATAATTAATTAATTAATATATATATATTTCACATCTACTAGGAAAACATATTCGTAGATTAGCAAAGAAAGTTAAATATTTTTTGAAAGCTCAATTTTGTATCAAGCGCTACACAAATAGCTCCTTCGATGTTGTTTGTTGACACTCAAGCTTGGATACGAACGAATACCTAATTGTCACGAAGGTAATGTTTGCGACGGTTTAGATGTATCTAACAGGCGGAACCAATATTGTCGAATTGGCTGAACAGTTTGAACTAATATATTTTCGTTTAATATTACACGGAATAATTAAAAATTTAATTTTATTATATAAGCATCTGCGTCTCGTTATTTTTTTGAAACGATACAATTTCGGCTACGATGAAGCGTATCTAACAGGCGGACTCAATCATGTCAAATCGGCTGAACAGTTTGATCTAATAAATTTTCGTTTAATGAAAATACACGGAATTATTAAAAATTAATTTTGTTACATAAGAATCTGCGTCTCGCTATTATTTTGAAAACGATACATAACGATACGATAACAATACGATAACGAGGTATTGAAGACTATATAATATATATTGATATAATAAAACCATTTGCACAAGTATGTGCACAAGTTATATGATGATTTTTGAGTTTTTGAAAGATTGTATTTGAACCAAAACATCGCGCAATAACAATGGCGCTTGTCACATTAACAGTCTGCCCTTAGTTGTTTTCCCGCCAACTCCGCTTTACAAAATATACTGTATTAAAACAGAAAAAGGTTAAAGGTCAATTACACTCTTCCAAAGTTCAGAGGATTCAACAGAGCGCAAAACATCGTAAATGAACATCGTACTAAATGACGCATTACACACGAAGCATGTGATACGCGGGGATCTTTTTGTCCCATTCGAACCATTCGAACCCGGTTACGGCGAAACAGCACCAGGCGACCTTAACCATTAGACCATCACGCCGCCCAGTCATTTCGCCCAGAAAACAGCCATTCAATTAAAAAATTAAAAAAAAGTTTGTTTTGTTCGTATTTTTTTTTTGGTACGAGACTTTTTAGAGAATGTCTCGTTTTAATACCGCTACGATATTTTTAGAGTCCTTATTAAACCAAAGTCATTCAATTGAAAAAAATTAAATAAGTTTCAATATTTTATAACTCTTTATTTTTTTACAATGTGCACTTGT